ATCATGGAGAATTTGACCAGTCCTGAAGTGTTGATATATTACATCCTACGCTATGATTTATTCTTATTTCTCATGGGAAGACTCATTCTAATTTGATATATATATTATTAATGATTATGTGTTATTAGTTATCTTACATCATCTAATTTAATATTGAAATTGGTCTTTCCCTTTAATTGCATATGACTTACACTAACATGGCCTAGTAAAGTCAGATATAAATGTTTAGGAACAGTACCAATGTTATATTTATCAAAAGAAAAAAATATCAATTAACTATTCCATAAGAAAAAATGAAGTATCTAAAATTTGGGTCATAACTTTGTACCTTGATAAAGAGAGATTTCTTCAAAAGACAAAGAAAAGAAAAATCGTCGAGAATCATTTAACTTGAAAATTTAGCAGAGGATGATAATTCCAACATCAAACTGGCCTATAAAAGTGGTGGGAAAAGAATTCATGAAAGACTCTTCATACCGAGTTTTAAACTTATCTTGTTTTATTGTTGTTCGTTTGTGTGTAGTGTGAAAGTACAAAATATGGTAAAAGTATGTAATGTGTTCATCTGCTTGGTCTTAATATTGCAACCTCGAAGCAATATTTATGCTAAAAACGTGTATAATGAAGGTTTGACGATTGATTGTCATTCTTTATTGCCGAAATTATATTTTATTTTGTTTATGTGTGTTACTGTGATTATCTAGCACGATTACAACTTTTTTTTCTTATTGATAGCTCAAGCTTTAATGGACATAAAGAACCGGTTAAAGGGAACTGAGGATTGTATGCCGGAATGGAGCCTAACTGGCGACCCTTGCAACTGGTCGAACATCCGCTGCGATGATTCAAGATCTGTCATTGTCATGTAAGGGTATTGTTATTTCTCCCCAATTTTCATAATGTTATGTTATAGTTCCTAAAATAAGTTGTAATCTTATTTTATATTTATGAAACTTCTATCACCAGCGATCTTACGCAGAATTGTACGGAGTTGGAAGGTCTTCTTGCCGACTTCACTGAAGGGCTTGCCAACTTAACTCACCTGAAGTATTTGTATGTGATATTTAAACTACCTCTTGCATTGCATATTATTGAACATAATCATAAAGATCCACAACATATCTAGTGACATTGCATATATATAATTGCAAGAAAAAAAATTACTAAAACTTTTTTTTTGTCGCCTTTTTCCGTTATTTATGCATTTCAAGCAATTATATTTTTATTTATTTTATTATATACTTGCTACTATTAACTAATAATAAATTCACATTAAATGTTATTCTATTATGTAGCTTTTTCTAACAATTTTTATATAATTATTATTTCTTTCTTTTTCTGAACTCATTAAGGAAGTTCTCTTATTAAAATTAGTTAATTATTTTTTTATGGTATAAGAAAACACTTTAAAATTTTTTTTGACAATTGTTACAAACAATAATTTCAATACTGTTTTATCCAATTGATTACTCACCAAAATTATATCAATATAAAAACCAACATGTAATTTAAATAGTTTATATTCATATTGTTTATTTTCACTAATGACATAATTTATATATGTGACATACTCGTTATCTAACTTATGATATTAATTATTACATAAACACACATATAACATACAAAATTTTATTTTTATTTGTAGATATGCACATAACTGAATACTAGTCATCAAAATATTAATCTCAGTAGCTATTAATTAGCATTAGTTTGAATATAAAACAACCTTCGGAATATTCAGGTGGGGTTCTTGAGTTTGCAAATAAGGTCACAGAACCCCAATAAAAAATATTGAAATATTATAAGGTAAATTAAAACCCACAAAATAAAACAATAAGTTAAACTAAAGGGAAGAGAAAATAAAATTAATTGCTCTATAAGAACCTAACAAATATTCTGTCTAGCACCAATAATTCACAAAAGAATTAACATCGTCAATTACTTTTCCTTCTATTTTTTTTTTAAAAATATTTAATATTTTTATTGATGAAAATGGGAAAAAAAACAAAAATATTATTGCGGATGATTTTTGTTGCCTTGTAGTTCATTGCAATTAGATGCTGCTTTTCCATTGGTTTCAAATGTGATAAACCTTATTCATATGATGAAAGTTAGTGGAGAACATTATTCTTTTTTTTCTTTTTCCAACGAAAATGATATATATAAAGCAACCTCAAAGTACTTACACGGGCTGTTCGACTGAACAATACACCTACTCTATTACAACATAGAGAAGAAATAACCGGGGAATACAACACATTATATCCCCTCAAATGCCAGCTTGGCAAACTGAATACAATTATCAGAACAAGTTCCATAAATAAAATTACAAGAGTCACACCAATCCCTGAGCATATAAATATCTTCAACCAAGAGCACATTGGATAAAGCCATATGAGGAAGTGTAACACCAGAAGTAAGGGCAGCAACCATCTGACCTGAATCAATACAGCATCTCACCTTAGTCCAACCTCTTGATTGAGCAGTTTCTAGGGCCCATCTGACAGGTAGTAGGTTTGCCTCCCATAAGTTGCTAGCCCAATTCCAGTGTTCCTTAGCTTCTGCAATCACCTCTTCCTGCATTCTTGCCACAAGTCCAGCCCCTGTTTTTCCATCAGAGGAAGTTATGGCACTGACTTGGATATCCACAAGTCCTACCATCTTGGAAAAATCTTCCTCCTCAACAACACCAGAAGCTGAACTCTGCACCCTATCACAAGCATTAACCTCAGCCTGATCAATGCTACTTAAGCCATGGAACTCCATCCAGTCTCTTTGAGCTCCTGCAACTGTAATCTGTTCACTGAATGGATCCCCTCTAAACACCACATTGTTCCTAGCCTTCCACAATCTCCACAAAAGACAGGCTGTAAGGGAAAGCCTCTCCTTCACCTTAGCCAGCCTAGCACCATTACACACCTTTTCCCACCACTCAGCAAGTCTAATATTGTCATTTGAAAATTCTTCCCACTCAATCCCAGGCAATTTCCAGCACAACACACTCTTAGGGCAGTGGCAAAACAGATGGGTGTCACTCTCCTCAGCTTCCCCACACAATGAACAAATAGGATCAAGGAGAATCCCTTTGCTTTGGAGATTGACTTTAGTACTGAGGAAGCCCCTCAGCAGCCTCCACATGAAGGTTTTCACTTTTGGTTGCAATGGAAGTTGCCAAGTGATCTCCCACATCTTTCTGACCATGTTGTTTGGCCCACTGCATGAGGCCTGTGGCTTTTCTTTCCCACAGATTGTGAGGTAGTTGTTATAAGCTGACTTGACAGAGAAATTTCCTTTTTTGTCAAAGACCCACACATATCTGTCTTTCTTCCTAAAGAGACTAATACGGATTTTGAGAATTTCAGAAGCTGTAAAGGGATCAAAAGTTTGTCTCACTAAATCCACATCCCAACCCTTGCCATCTACATCCATCAGCTCACTCACTTTGACTAACCTATCTCTATCCCCCTCACAATGGCATTTAGGGGTAAAATTAGAAATTCTAGGAACCCAAGGAGAGTTCCAGATTGACACCGAAGAACCATCACCAACTTGAACCCTCACACCTCTCTTAAAGACCTCCCTCACCCCTATCCAGCTTTTCCACAACCAGGAATCAGAGTTCTTTTTCTGAACCTCAAAGAAATTAGAGTTATGGAAATACCTACCCTTAAGAATTTTAGTAACAAGCAGATTAGGGTTTGAAAGAATTCTCCACAACTGCTTAGAAATAAGGGCAGGAGAACATTATTCTTTAAACAACATTATTTGTGATGAAAGTTCGTGCATTAATTATCCACATTTTAGTTGGAGAAAAATGAAATATTTTTGCATTGAACTTAACTTTTTGTTTTTTTTCTTTTTTTTTTTTTCCAAAATGATAAATATTATTATAAATCAAAATGTACAAATGTGCGAATACAAGCAGCCCCTAGCTGAATGGAACAACCCACAACTGAAAAGGTGGGAGGACATGTCAGAAGACCGCCTAGAATCTCGACTAGCAACGATAGAATAAAAAACAATCGCAACTAAACTAACCAACACGACTACCTAAAACCAACAAAAACTACAATAACTAAAAAGATCCCAACAGGGTAATGCCCGAGTGTAAGATCCCAACAGGATAATAAGTTTATACTCGGGCTCACAGGGCCAACGACCCAAACCAAAAACACAGGACAAAAACTGAGACCAACAGCCCAGAACATAAGCACACATGCAAAGAGCCCAAACTAAAAACACACAACTACAACATAAAACAACTAACACCAAAACAAAAGAGAAAAAGAAGCCCTTCCACAGTGAATCAACGGCCCAAACTAGTAGAGAATAGTCGATATCAAAGAATAATCTAAATTCAGGGAACCACTTCCGAAACTGCCGCAAGGCCTATACAAAAAGCAGAACCCGAACACGAACTAAACTCCGAGAATGGACCTGCCACCAACCGGAGGAACTAAAAGAAAACCAGCCCCCACACCAGCTCCAACCAAACCCGTCTAACACCACTAGTTGAGCTCGAGAGTGATAGCACACATGCAGCCCATGCATGCACAAATGAGCTGCAGACATGTCAGCACAAGAAGACACACAAGACTGAGACCGGTCAACAAGAGTATGGATGAACAAGATTCAAAGAAGAAGGATCACATGCATGGAGAGCCGTTAGATTGATATTAGCTGCAATATAAATAGATGTTACCACTTTTGTAACCTAGAACATTAATGGAAGAAGAAATAGAAAAGTAAGCTTGCATGAATATGGATGATTCTTTTTTATCTCCTTCTGCACATTATTTCATGTCTTTCCTTGAAATGTCACCTATCAATTACTCTAACATGGTATTTAGAGCTTTTAATTTCCTCCTGGGACACACCAACCCCCATCATTAGTCATTCCCATAGCCAGATCTCGTTTCCTTAATTCCAACATAAAAAAAAAAAATTCTTTTTGCACAGCCCCAGATCTATAAACCCAGATCTGCAACCAATCTCGAACCATGGCCTCTCAAACATCATCAGACAGCAACAACAACACCATGACTACAAATCCTTCAGGCATAGTGCATCCTCAACATCAACTCATCTCTATTAAACTCACAGATGCAAACTACTTGCTGTGGAAGCAACAAACCTACAGTGCTATAGTTGGTTATGGCCTTAAGAACTTCATTGCTGCAGATTCCATCCCTCCACCAAGGTTTCTCTCCTCTGGCAGTGGAGATCCACCAACCCTCGACCTAGAATTTGCTACCTGGGTCAGACAGGATCAGCTCCTCATGTTATGGTTGCTCTCTTCTCTAAGTGAGAACCTACTTATTATGATGGTTGGCAAGACAACATCTCGTGAGGTATGGCTCTCCCTAGAGTCAAATTTTTCAGGCCTCTCTAAGGCTAGACTCATGCACCACAAACTACAACTGCAGTCCCTAAAGAAGGGATCTACATCTATGAGAGAATTTCTTAGCAAGGTCAAGGCATGTTGTGATGCTCTGGGTGTTGCAGGTGAGCCTGTTTCAGAACAAAATCACATTCTCTACATCCTTCCTGGTCTTGGGAGTGAGTATAACCCAGCTGTGGTTGCTGTTACTTCAAGAATCGAGCCATACTCTCTCAATGAAGTCTATGCAATGTTACTGAGTCTTGAGTCCAGGCT